TGCAGATAGAACATTGTGTAATCCGCACTCTGCAGATAGAACATTGTGTAATCCGCACGATGCAGATAGAACATTGTTGTTAGGACGCGTCGATTTGCAGTCAGAAGTTCTGAACCGTGAACCAGAAGAGCTGGATAGTGATGGCAATGGGAAGAACTGCTCACTTTATATCACAGATCTTGAGGAAGACAGAAAAAATTACCTGTACAGTGGCCACTCGCATAGCCGCGCCGCGCGGTTCTCCTCTGTAGGCCGGCGCGGCTATGCGAGGGACCCCCATCTCCGGTGAATGGCCGGCCGAAGGATGAAGCCTCAGTGCTGGATGTGTTATTTAGCTTCAAAGCTGTTGAACAGTAATCAGAGAACAATCAGAATCCACGCCAGCAGTGTTTGGCGGTGAGCAGTGGGCTCAGGCTAGTAGAGCTTAGCGCAGCTATGAGAGGCGCGGCTATGCGAGTGGCCACTGTACATTACACCAAATTTTGCTATATCTCACCTCTGCCATTTGAACAAGCTGACTGAGTTAAATACGTATTATAATGGGGTCTCCTTTCCTTTTGTGTATGTGGCTGGGCTGCATTCATTCTTCGGATTACACATTGAGGACATGTCACTTCCTAGTATGAGCTTCAATCACTTTGGGAATCCTAAACTATGGTAAGTATCATATGGTCATTATGATTTCAACTAGAAAATGTCATCTTTACCTTAAGGTTTCAATTTCTATGTATTTGGACACACAGGATTGTAGTTGCTCCATCTGAGATTACTAAACTGAGTATTATTCTATCAAATTACGGCCTGCATAATTTGAACAGAGTTTGTCTCTTTAAACTCTCTCACAAAAGTAATGTTGTGTTTCCTGAATTTCTTCTTCACCATTCTATAAAGTTTAAAATTGTAAGTAATTGACCTCTAATTTGTGTTCTGTTGCCATGCCAGTGACCGTACCATCCAAATTTCATTGAATTTGCTCGAATTTTAGGTTATCCAGGAACCAGGACATTTCATTTTTCTTGCTCGAAATGCAGCCCATACAGGAGGGAATTTTGGCTTAGTGGTTTCAGAGGCTTGTAACCTTGGAAATGTGGATTGGTTGCCATTTAAGTCTGTTGCCTCCACCCAAAACTGCAATTGTTTGTAAGTTTAACCAATTTGTCTTGTCATATATGTTCTTGCTGTCCAATTAGATCATAATCATTGAAATTATCAATGTTCCAGCATCTGATAACAATTTGTCTTACACTTTTTTTCGTATGTATTTTGTTGTAGAGAGCGTAAGGTCTACATGTATATTACACCATTATTCAAGATACATCGCCCAGATCTTCTTAAATTTCTATGGATGGGCCTTAGATGAAGACTTAATAACGGACTTGATCAGAATCTTTGCTCTTTTCGCCGTTGATGATGACGACCGTGTTCGCCGCCCCAGCCGTCGTCGCCGTCGTCGCCAGCTCCAGCTACAGCAGAATCATGATGGAGGTAAGTCGCTAGTTCTAGTATGATACTGGTTATATATTAGGTTTCACATCTGTTCTTTCTGTATGTAGAATTTGTATTACATTGAAATCTCACAGATCTACCGCAGAACCTACCATTCGTTGATGTCAATGGTTGGAAAAGGTTAGGAGATCCTACATTTAGGAAAAATTTTCACATGACTCGCCCTGTGTTTGAGGTAGATAAGTGAATGAAGTATGAATTAATTAACACTCTTTGGACAGCCATATCTTATTTTCAAATTGTCATGTTCTCAGATGCTTGTTCTTGCTTTTGGAAGGCACATGGAAGCTACTAATCGGCTTCAACGCAAAGGGATGCCCATCGATCTTTCGCTGCTCATGACTTTGTGGGTTTTAGCTCACCCAGACTGCTTTCGATCAGTCGGTTGGCATTTTCCAAAACAGGGCGGATCAGTACACAATCAATATAACACAATGTTCCAAGTGATACAAGAGCTCAAGCTAAAGTACGTCAGGTGGCCTTTACCTGCCGAACAAGAGGTTATTGCAAGACAGTTTGAAAAACAGTTTGGTTACCCTGGAACAATTGGTTGCATTGATGGAACATTTATCAGTCCTTACAAACCATCAGAACAGCATCAGCATTACTGAAACCGAAACCGTGACCATGCTGTTATTCTTCAATCAGGTTATGACCAAGAAATGTTATTTCGGGATGTCAATGTCGGAGAGCCAGGTGCTGTTGGAGACAGACGGCCATTCCAGAGGAGCCATTTGTATCAATCGATGATCACATGCGCCGATCTTATGGGAGACAAACATCTGTTAGGAGATGGTGCCTACCCACTTTTGAGTCAAGTATGTCACATGTTGAGTGTATACCATTGCTGCTCTCTTAAACTGATCTGTAAGCTTTTATCCCTGTTAATTTATGTTTCAACCAGCTCACTGTACCTTATCGGGACTTTGGAAATTGAAAGGGCTTTTGCATTACTGAAGGGGAAATGGCGTCTAAAGTTTTTCCCATGTTATCAACTTGAGTACTTGATTGACAGTATAATGGCATCTCTTGTTCTTCACAATTTCATCATGTTGGAAGGCAATGCTTATGATGAGGTTAGTACTTTTTATTTCTGTCAGCTGTAAAATGAGGTACATCTTGTTAGTCACACTCTTTTTCTCTCTATTTTAGGATGAGGTTGATTTGGTCCCTGTTGATGTTCCTTTCAATGAGCTGTTGGCAGAATCTCAGAGGATTGGTAATCTGAAAAGGGAATACCTAGCCATTATGCTCCCTGCAGAACATTAAGATCAGTTGGGTGTGCTTCGTGTTTTTCTCTTGTTTGAAACTTTTTACTACATGCACTTGATAGAATTGTGCTGTCTTTGTTTGCAAGAGATCAGAAGCTGTTGAAAACCCTTGTCGTTGTTGTTTGTGTATTATTTATTTCGTCATTAGTGAAATTTAATTCCTTGTGGAGAAAATGAATGTTAAAGTAGTGTTAA